TTTCTTCACTGAAAGGGTTGTCAAGCATTGGAAGAGGCTGCCCAGGGAAGTGGTGGTGTCACCATCCCTGGAGGTATTTAAAAGACCTGTAGATGTGGCGCTTAGGGACATGGTTTAGTGGTGGACTTGGCAGTGCTAGGTTGACAGTTGGACTCGATGATCTTAAAGGTCTTTTCCAACCTAAATGATTCTGTGATTCTGTAACACCAATTAGTTACTTAAGTCCAGTAATAATCATGCTGTATTTTTATTAGCATGGCCTTGTTGCCAGCTGCAGCTGTTCTGTGAAAATCAGTTTTTCCAAGATTTCAATTTCACCACATTCTTTTAAAAATGTTCCTTCTATGAAAATGGACCACAGACTTCATTCTTATGTATTGAAATAGAAAATATCGTCATATAGAATAGAATTATTAACAAAATTAGTAAAACTAAAATACATCATGAGCTTCCTCCTACAGCCAGCAGTAGTTTATAACAAGATTGCTTACGTGGTAAAGATTTGTCAGCACAGGTCACACGGTAAAAAGATTTGCTAGCACACCACCACAAAGATGTTATATATAGGGATAATTCTGCGCAGCTACGTATTATACTTGCAAACACTGTCTCAAAGAACAGGAAATTGCTCCTTTAATCAACATTAAAAAAATTAGGTTGGAAGTTACTTCTACAATATTTATTTGGTACATGGGAGATGCAAATCCAAGCAACTTAGCGTAAACAGGCACTTCGATGTTGCCCGCTGTTAAGTCTCCCATACCCCAAAGAAAAGTCACAACCTCATGAGAAAGGGAGTAGTGAATAAGTGGAGAAAAAGACCCCGTTACTCATTTTCCACAAGAAGTTTTATCAAGAGCCTTTGAGCAAAATGAATCTTTTCATGGCAATATTTTCACCAAACAATGGCACACACTGAAGAAGTTTGAGTTTTGACAAATCAGTGCTTTGTTGTTTTTTTTTTTAATAAAGAGGCAATGAAAATTGCTAATGAGGTCTAATAACGGAGCAGTACTCAAAGATGTAGATTAAATGTGGAACTGAACTACATGCAGACTTAAATAAAACCTATTACACTAATTAATGAACATCCATTTACTCTAGTAATTTGGAACAATCAGCGTAATTTAGAAGTGTGCTTCTTCTGAACAAACCAGACAAAGGACGGCTGGAGGCAATGAAAATTGCTAATGAGGTCTAATAACGGAGCAGTACTCAAAGATGTAGATTAAATGTGGAACTGAACTACATGCAGACTTAAATAAAACCTATTACACTAATTAATGAACATCCATTTACTCTAGTAATTTGGAACAATCAGCGTAATTTAGAAGTGTGCTTCTTCTGAACAAACCAGACAAAGGACGGCTGTGCATGAAAGCATAGCTTTTTACTGCAATTGTGTGCGTAGGAAAAAAAAAAAAAACAAACCCAAAAAACACATACCGCAGCATCGTACCACTTTGAACCAAGTGCTGATTCATACACACTCTTCCCTGACAAGCTGTTATGCAAGAAAAATACCTGAGGTTGCAGCTGCTTCTACAGCTATGCTACAGTAAGGTGGAGGGGAAGTATCTGCTTCAGATAAGGCTGCTGTCTGGGGAGTCTGCGTAGTCTCTGTAGACGTGGAAGGCTGCTCAGCTGCTGAAGACTCTGGGGGGTCATCCTCATTGTGAAGCTTAGAAGAAAAACACAAAAATTTCAGAGGCGTTCAGGGAATACTTTCCATGACAACCTAGTACTTGCAGAACCATCTTCAAAAAGAGAGAAGATTACTCTTCAACAAAACAGAAGTTATATACAAAACAGCATGGACTACTACTTTAAGTAGTCCAGTTAAATTCTTTTAAGCAAACAGTTAAATATAGTCTTAACTGCCTTTCCCCCCTGCCCCAGAAATGGATTTCTTCTCATCAGTGATGTTCACAGAGTCATAAGTATCTGGGGTTTTAATGTTTACTCTATGGGAAAATGCTGACTATAAAATATTCATATAATAGAAAGTATGTTAACACTATTACTTTTTTTTTTTCCTTAAATACATTCATAAAATGTATTAACCCTTTTTAAAATACAACAGGTGAGAAACTATCTTTTATTGTATTAACCTAGAAGAAATAAAAAAAAAAAAAAGACATTTCTACTTATGCAACTGGGATTTTTATACTCTTATGTCCTGTCAGAGAGCTTCTCCACTCAAATTCTAAGACTTTGCAAAAACATTCTGCTTTTCTTTACAGTCTGGAAAGAATCCTTTCCCCATAAAACTTCAAGTTGCTGGTTTGTTTGGTTGTTTTTTTTTTTTTAAAATGCAATTTGTAAAGGACATGTCCAGTTAAGCATATACAGAAATAAGAATTTGGATAAGCAAGAATGTTGATTAAAACCATGGAATTTGGATCCAGCAACTAATATCTTTTCTTAGAGAAGGTATTTTTTATTATTTTGGCTAACTTGACAGTGGTTAGAATATGAATCAAACTTTAAGAAGAAAGAGTACTAGCATTAAACAAAAAAGTGCTGGTTCCCACTAGTGTAAACTACAAAATAAGATGCCTAGAAGGCAACTACTGAAACACCACATTTAAAACCCAGAAAATAAGATTAGTAAATTGAACGTATCTGAAAAAAGAATTCTGTAACTTCAAATTGGTAGTTTCTGTGAACACCCTACAGAAAAATATTATTTTAATTTCAATAACAACATTAACAACACAACTACATTAGTTTCATATTAGGCAAAGTACAATCAGATTATCGGAAAAAGCACACTCTGAGAAGAACAAACGCTAAATTCCTTGTTAAGTAGTGTAACATTCACACCAAAATTGTTTTATATCCAGAGTATATCAAAGTTCACAGAATGGTTGAGGTTGGAAGGGACCTCTGGAAGTCATCTGGTCCAACCCCCCTACTCAAGCAGGGCCACCTACAGCCGGTTGCCCAGGACCATGTCCAGACGGCTTTTGAGTACCTCCAAGGATAGAAGCTCCACAACCTCCCTGGGCAACCTGTTCCAGTGCTCAGGCACGCTCACATTATAAAAAAAAAAAACAAAAGAAAAAGAAAAGAGTGTTTCCTGATGTTCAAAGAGAACCTGGGAACCTCTTGTGTTTCTGTGTGTGCCCACTGCCTCTGCTCCTGTCACTGGCACCACTGAGAAGAGTCTGACTCCATCCTCTTTGCACCCTCCCTTCAGGTATTTATATACGCTGATGAGATCCCCCTCTGAGCCGTCTCTTCTCCAGGCTGAACAGTCCGAGCTCTCTCAGCCTGTCCTCATATGTGAGATGCTCCAGGCCCTTCATCACCTTGGTGGCCCTTTGTTGGACTCTCTCCAGCATGTCCATGACTCTCTCGTACTGGGGAGCTCAGACCTGGGCACAGCGTTGTGGCCTCACCAATGCTGAGCAGAAGGGAAGGGTCACCTCCCTCAACTTAGCGGCAATGCTTTGCCTAGTGCAACCCAAGATAGCGTTAGCCTTCTTTGTGGCAAGGGCACACTGCTGGCTCATGTTTAAGTTCTGCAGGTTGCAAATTCCGTGCTTTTCTTTCTAATGAAAAACTAAGGACAACAGCAGGAATTACAAACATAGAAGACATTTCAACAGTAGGCAGGTAAATTGAAAAGATAGTTCAAGGGAAAACAGAATATGCTTCAAAAGAAGTTAGTGCAACAGAACAACTTCATGCAATTTTCATATGGCTTCTACCACACTCTTCTCTTTAAATGTGTCAATTAGAAAAAGTGATAAAGTTACTTGCTAAAGCATTTTTCATCCTTTTTCAGGAGTCCCTCCAAATACTGTATTCAAAGAACTATAGCTTAAAGATTAAAGGGTTTATCTATACATATAAACTACATATATATGCACACACATATGTAAGTATATACATACACAGGCACAATACACACATGAGCACATACTAGGACAAGGAGAAGTCACCTTCAGTGGAACTGATAGGGTTTATTGAGGGGTTTTGGGTACTAAGCAATCAGGTCATTTAATGGCTAATCAGTGATCCAGAAGAAGTAGTGACCTGAGAAATATGTATAGCCATTTAGAGTAGTTAAGGCCAAAGAAAACAAAACCACTTCAAAATAATCTAACATATTTAGGGATACAGAAAGCAAGTGAGAAGACAAAACACTCAATTCTAAAAAGGTCGAGCAGGTCAGAAAAACAGCCTGAGAGCTATAAATGTTATGGTTCTAAATTAAGTACAAACATTCACAAGAAAAATCCGGTATTGCAATGGATATAGCTAAAATAAAATCATTTTTAAATAAAACTGTAATTTGATTAGCAATGAGACAACTAACAGAACATTACCGGCATACTTTTACACTAATGGCTGGTACACTCACCCTCATTTGGGGGGTGTGTGTAGTTCTGACTACCCCACCACAACAACCTGGTCTACGAGCCGGGGAAGAAGTAAAGCCTAGTTAATGGATTTCTGTCTGTTACCTCCATTCTTCCTCTCATTTCGCCCTCCACTTCAATCACTGCAACTTTTTCCCTATGAAGCCATAGTATGTGCTGTCACTATCCTGAAGACATGCAGAGATCCACAGCAGCTCATTGGTCAAAGAGCATATTACTGCTCAAAACCCCCTTTGCCATTACCGAGGAAATTAATTTTGTGTCTTCTACATGCTTTCTTGAAAGTCGCCTTTCTCCAAATTATCTGTAATTTAATAACAGTTACAAATGATGGAGGTAACATGAGTATGGGAGAAGAACATGCACATGAGACTTCGTGCCTTCAAAGACCGAGTTAACAAGTCATTCAATTGTTATAGCAACTGCAATTAGGAAACAGAAAAATTCCATCCTAAGGGTTCCATACAAAAGAGCCCCGTTATGCCCTTTAGCCCATTCAAAAGGTCTTTATTTTGTAGGACTCATATTCAGGGACCAAGCATTTCTATTTATCCTGTCTTCTACTACACAGACCTTTCAGAAATTCTGAAAGGCATCAAGGCTACCCTAATGCAGCAACTTAAAGAAAAATCGGAAGACTCCTTACAGAATACCCCATCATAAAAATCACAAGAAGTGGATTAAGCAGCTTGAGTGTTTACAGCTAGAATAATAAACACAAGTTGTTCGTGAACAGAAACCAGCTTTTCTTCGTTCTCATTGAAGTGTCCTGTCTCCTAGTCTCTCCGCAAGGCAGTAACTTCAGCTCCTCTCAGGGGACTCCACTGGTGTAAAAACCAAACCAAAACAGTAAAAACCCACAACTGCAGCAGAATTTGTCCCAGCAAGCTGGAAATTTTGCCTATGCCACCAGGGTAGACAGCAGTGGTTATACCATTTTGTCTTGTAGCAACTCTGCCTTGTCTTCACATGGCACTGATTCTCCTCTGTGGAGTCACCAGTTTGCTTAAACCAGTAGGAACACGACTACCTTTGAGCCTCCCCCTTCCCATTTAATTTTGGCTTATACCGGCTGGTAAATTTAGAAGTTATTTTTGGAGGCAGGGGAAGAAGAGGCCTGACACTCTGCATAGGTTTCATTGCCATAGAAACGAAGCTAAAAACACTCAGAAGGGAACAGAAAATGTCTGTTTCAAGTCACTACTTATGCTATGTACTTATATGTTACCTGAAACAGCATTTAACATTGGAAGTATAGAAATCGTATCTAAGATTTTTTTTTTTCCCCCAACAGTAAGATTATTTTACCCACTTTTTTAATTAAAGGACTAAGAACTCAGTTCATCATCCCAGCCCCCCCCGCCCCAAGTCCCCAGTGAACCATTGTATGATAGTAAGCAATACAGCTGCTTTTACCAAGATTATGGTCAAAACAATTGCCAGGACCTATTAAACTACAAACAACTGCAAATTAGTACCTTCCCCTCACATTCTGAAAGCAGGACACACAGACATTTTTTTCCTTCACATCTTAGTCTGTACGCAGAGTATCTGGCTTTACAATAGCTTTACAATAAGAAAAAGGGAATACTTTGTTATTAGACATATTACTCAAACTGTTTATAAAAGTATTTCAATCCCTGCTTTCACAGCCCTTGAACTACGGTACGTTACAGGCTCAAAAGTCACGATGCTCGTATTCAAGATATATCTATGTCAGGACACTTAAAATTCCAAGTTCAATCGAGGAGCAGTGGCTCTTCTGACACCAATGACTCAAAAATCTCATGGTAACTACTAAAGAGCATACAGTACAGGAAAAAACATTAGTTTCCTTCATATGATTTTTTTACCCTATACTATCTTCAGGTTTTTTCCCCAGAAAGGCACTATAAAACAATGATTCACTATTTCATTTCAGAAGAAGTTAAAGTCAGTGTCAGACCTTTCAGCACCAAAATACTGTGGAAAATACAGCTACCTTTATATATTTTTTTTTAAATAAATAATTTTTTAAAAGAAGTACTGCATCTCCTCCTGTAATTTATTTCCTTAAGTCTGTTATTTTTTAATGTAATTATTTCCAAAGTAATCAGATGCAATGCCTGAAATCAACTGACATCCTACAAAGAACATGAACCACAAGAAAGTGCTTCGTACAGAAGCCTTTACTGAGAGGACTGATATGGATGCTTTTACTCTTTAGGCTTTTCAAAATAAAAACTTAAACTGGGAGGAAGATCTCATTCTCTACTTAACACTTTTCATTTACCTACAGATAGCAATTTTGTCTGACCTA